TTACTAAGAGATATAACAAAGGAACTTTTCAGTCACATTATAAAATGTTAAGACGATTAAGCTGTACATTTAACTTCCATGCGCTATATAAATTACTATAAATATACATTTATACGCAAAAGGAGTATTGCAGCAAGCATTTCTTATTTGATATGACAAAATTTGATGGGTTAAATTTGAGACAAACACTAAAAGAACCAAATCTACTAAACTCATAACAGTTTCATAAACATTAATTTTAATTAAAAAAACCAATTCCTCTACGCCTCAGCAAATTTTAGGTATCTACTTAAGCAGCCATACCTGACGTGCACATGAATATCGATAAGTCCAGGAAGGCGGAACAGGCGTCGTAAAGTAAGGCAGTGGAAGGGCGAAAGATGTACTCGGGGATGCCGGTTTACAGCTACCAAGTGTCCATTCTCGAGTGAATGCTTTTTTTGTGTAAATGACGGAGATGAACGACCATTCGGATCAAAATGTCGCCTCCAGAGAGCATCCACGAGAAGTCGAGTTAGTTTGACGTCAGTTAACAAAGGCACACGGGTCTCGACGGCTAAGCGTCGGGTCAAATAACCTGGATTGAAGTTATAGGAATAAAATAAACATAAAGCCACTTGAATCTTGGAGTAAATAGGACTAATAAGAGAAATAAACGATATAAAGTGTAAAAACAGTTTGCGACATCAATTAGTGAACAGGTTAAAATTTTAATACGCATAAATCCATAGTTAAGTTCTTAAGATGAACGATTTAAAGGTGATTTCTGTTAAAACAGTAGAACATAACAAACATACTAGATCAGAAGTTGAAAAAATAATTTAATGAAATGTGCAATATGAAAGATGTTGAGGAATGTAGTCATAATTAAGATGCATCTAGGATAAAGTAAAGTATGTGAGTAGGGTTTCGAGACTACCAATAAATCAGTAGGAAACTAAGGCTGATATACTGAAGAAAATAGTGCAGTCAACTTCTGCTATGTAAATAGATGTGATAAAAAGATTTGCAAAAAAGTGACAACTCATAAGGTGGAACGGCGACATCATCTCTTCACCATGATTTGTCCTACTAAATAGGCTAATTGACCTCTAAATAAAATCCGTCTCAATTTTTCCATAAAGGGTCTTTAAATGAAGGTTAATTTGAATTAAATTTCTAATAGCTTGACTAACCGGAATGTAACCACTCCTTGAAAAGTAAATTAATCGCAAAATTTTATAGGCACGAGGTTGGCCATATTTCACTCAGTTAGTAAACAGTAGTAACCTGTTCTCCACAGGCAGTTTGGTTACATCGCTCATCATAACCAACCAGAAAGCAGTTAGCTCTCAACTCACGCAACACCACTCGGGTCACAACTAATCTGCATTGCCCAGCTGGGACTAAACTAAGCTGGCCATTACATCCAGCCTCCCTATTGAACCAATGAGAGCATGACCCTAAAAGTACAAAAGAGTATTTTAAGCCAGAAACTCCTAAGGCTAAGGCCACTTCTCGCCATCTCTATGTGAACCGTTGTAACTCTATGATCGTACATTGCTCTCCCACACTAACAACACACTTCACCATCGTCTATTTTTCTTACTCCGAATCCTCGCCAATGGCTTTTCTTATTTTATACAAGTGATACTCCATGACTCGTTTTCTTATTTTTAGTATAATTAGTTTCGAGACTACCAGTAAATCAGCGAAGAGATGTAATTACCCTAACTCACATGCAGCACTGTCACGGTTCGACTCCCGCTGGGGGTGTTGATAAGGCATATGCGAGGTCGAAACTGCAGTCCGCCCTGGATGAGAACTTTTGGAAAAGCAAGGCTCTGTGAAATTCAATGGAAACATCAGCTCTACTCATATCATTGTGGGAAAATTATATTACCAATCCTTTATCACCTTAAAAGGAAAAAGGATGAATACATCTCATGACTTGTTTTACTATACAAGACCGGAGTACTGCATACAGTAGCGCGAAGATGAACATATATTTTGAGATTTTCACAATATCTTTAAAAAAGGATTAACACAAAAAAATCAAATAGCACTATCCTCATTATTACGCAGGCACATTGATGATCGATAAAATAATTGCAGCAGACTTTTCGATATGCTAGTCTAAGGACTGGCAGTTGACTTTTCCCACAACTATATGAGTAGGCCTCATGCTTCCATTGAAGTTCGCCTAGAAATGCTTCCCAAAAGATATTCTCATATTGAGTGAATGGCCAGTTCGCCCGTACCTAGATCTCTTTAGCACCCTGAGAGGGGCTCGAAACCTGGTATTACAGCGTATAATATTGACATATAAAAATTATGCCAAACTGCCCCGGGTGCCTTTGGGTCACGGAGCAAAAATGAATTTCAAGAAGCCTAGGCATTTATACTATCACGACCCTGTGATAGAATTGTCACGAAGCAAAGTTGTATTTGTCATTGAAATCACTAAATAACTTAGCGTTCTTATCAGAGGTAAGATCTCTAAATATAGTGAATACCACACTAATGAGGAAGTTGAATGAATGCTGGAAGTTCTTTGCGCTTTAAATATATGAAGGAAAATAAGGAAATAAAACTATCTTTAAAAAAGTTTGGTTTTAGACGAATTAGCTTCACTTAATTCATGCAATTCGATCGATTTTACATTTATTTTTTATGGTCCAATAAGCTAGGCTGTGAACTTCCAGAATGGATAATCAGTGACAGATTAAAAAGAATATTGAAGGTATGAAGACCAAGATAGTGTGGGCTTTTGTATGGTCGCAGTTTCTATCGTTGTATAGAAGTTGTTCGACCTCGTTTTCACAGTTTGGTCATATTGGTAAGAAGATCTAAAGGAACGCACCTAGTGCGGAGTCCATAGCTATAATGATAATCTCCAGAGTCAGACCATGGGCGTAGTACATTCCCAGACATTTCGCTGGCATCGAAATCGGCATCGTCAGTGAGCATTGTCAGTCTTGGCACCACATTACAACTCGTCAAAGAGACAAATGAAGCCGATTCTTTGACCAAACGCGTGCTCAACAGTTGTGGTATTCCCCCCTTCTGCCCTAGGCAATTCATCTTTTTAATATCCTCGTATCACGCATTCATTATCACAATTTTTTATTGCTTATTGAAATGCGTTATGATGTGAACTTTAGAGAGGGTTTCATGAGAACTCTCCACACCCCATGCTGGCTTTCTCACCCCCCTTCACCCTTGTGCTAGAATGTGGGTCAGAGACTACCCTATTGTAACGCAGCCCTCCTACAATAGGTTTTATCAGAGTCTCTCTTTTGCCCAGTCTGTTATCTCCTTGGTTCAAGTATTTCACTCAACCCCTGCCACCCAATCTGTGCTGCTCGAGGCGTTATTTCCCACATTCTGCCTCTGGGAGACTAACTTGAGATTAAAGCCTTTGATTTATTCTCATGGTCAAACTGTTGCTTAATGTATCAGGTCTATTATAAAACAGGTATACTGCCACCGCGTCTATCCTGTTTAAATCCGTAATACTACTCTATAGCTTCATGTATGAGATGTATTCACCCTATTTCGTTTAAGGAGATGAAGGACTGGTTGAATAATTTCCCCACAATTATATGAGTAGAGCTTACGTTTCGATTGAAGTATACATAGCCTTGATTTCACAAAAGTTAACATCATCCAGGGTGTACTACAGCTTCGACCTCGCATTGGTAATATCAACAAACCTACCTAAGATATGAATACCAAGATGGTGTGGGTTTGTGTGGTCGCAGTCTCCTTTCGTTGTATAGAAGTTGTTTGACCTTGTTTTCGCAACTCGGTCATATTAGTAGGAAGACTTAAAGGAACAGTCTCCTTTCGTTGTATAGAAGTTGTTTGACCTTGTTTTCGCAACTCGGTCATATTGATAGGAAGACTTAGAGGAACGCACCTAGTACGGAGTCCATTGTCTGCATGTTAATTTCTAAAGTTAAACCGTGGGCGTGGTACATTCCCAAACGTTTCGCCGGCATCGGCAGTGAGTATCGCCATTCTTAGCACCATACATCAACTCGGCTTCACTTTTTTCTTTGACGAGTTGTTGTACGATGCTAAGAATGGCAATACTCACTGACGATGCCGACTACGATGCCGGCGAAACGTTTGAGAATGTACCACATCCACTGTTCAACTTTAGAAATGATCATGCAGACAATAAG